TCACTTTGAGTGGGAACTCATTCCTTCAAGTCAATGACACACCTGTGTGATTCCTCCCGAACCTCTTCTCGAAGGCAACATGAAGGCACCGGCTGGACATGTCAGGAGCTTTTAGAAATATGAACGCTCCAAGAACATGGGAGACAGAGGAATAAATCACCAGAGAGAATTGTTTGAGGCACCGCATCAACCCAGACAGAAGGTGCTAGTCAGAGAGTATTCTTAGCTTTGTGCTTATCTCAAAAGGGGGTGGAGGGAAGATCACCCTCATCCGGCTAATTGCCACGATGTCCAAATTCCTGGGCCAGAGAACTCCACTGCATATTCTGCATTCAGGATATGAGGGGCAAGTCGCAGAAGCTGATTCATGCTGCCACCTTAAGCACATCGACTTGAAAATAAGTACATACAAATGGAAGTTGTAATGCAAATAACTGCATGACCTGATGGAGCACCCAGGGCAGGGGTTTTATCCATTTTATTCTATACACTAAATTATTTTATTTGTAAACTGTTTACATTTTAGATTTTATACTTTGAAATAAACTTTGGTTTTACAGCATCATGGTCCATGTTTCAGGAGTTGCTCTGAACTTCCCAGAGAGTTTTGGCGGTTAGGCAGTTAAAAAAGGAAAGATTATCCTCGGCCTCATCTAGCATGACCCTCCTTCTTCGAGCCGATGGAATGTTGTGCTGGGAATAGAAATCCAAAGTGGGAAGGAAAATGGAATGGAGTACCCTGGGAAAGGGCATGGCTGGCTGGGAGCCTGAATAGAACTTCCCCACATGGCAACATTGAATTGTAGGAATATGGTCCCAACTGCAACATTAGATCCTGTTAGTATCCGCAGCCATGAGCCAGTTCCTGAACATCCCATCACACCCTGGTCCGAAACCATTCCCAAGTTGCTGTTAGACACACAACATGCAATCAGTTCTGTAACAGTTTGGTCCAGGGCGGGCCAAGAGAGACTTTCAACCCACTCATTCATGCTGTTTCCCCAAGCTCCCCTTTCCTGTCTCCCATAGAAGAACTCTTTCAAATGTTCCACACAACAACCCCTCCCAAAGGTTCCATTCAGACACTAAATCAAACTTGGATCAAGGAGCACAAGTACGATTGGCATCCGCTGCAGTCTGGCAAAGCCCTTTAGGGTTTTCCCAGCCCCTTGCCATTTTCCGTACTTCCTCCAGGCCTGTTGCTGTCTAACCCTACAGTTTTGGCTTTAGTAGAACTATCACTCACAGCCTGAGCATCAGAAGTAAAGGGAAGTTTCATGGTTCAAGGTGTCACATCCAGCAAGTACCCCCATTAATGGACCTTGAGCCCAGATAAGTGATGAGAAGTGGTGAGAAAACGTTGAAAATTGTAAGTCCCCCAATGTCAAGGTCATCTAGTATGACTCAGCACTCGCTTGAATGGATTCTAAGGAAGCAGAAATTGTATTTCAGGACAGGAGTTATGGCACAGCATTCAAATCTGAAAGACTTACGTGTTGCCAAAGGAAAAATAAAGTGCATGAGATATTCAGTGTTGAAGCTCAGCATTTTCAGAAGGGGGTTTACTGGAATGCATTCCAAAGGTGAGGCATTTTGTGTTGCAAAATAAGTTCCTGCAATATCCTATCAAGGGTCAGCATCTCACATGGCTTGTTAGATCACTCTGGGAAGTGCATGAAAGGAGGATAAAGCCAGCATGATGGGCCTCTTTTCCCTAAGCATTTGCCGCTGCTCAGGCTGCTCAATGGCTGCTGAAAGCATTTTAAAGGAAGGGAAGGGTCTGTCATTTATTGCTGCTGTGAGCAATTTCTCCTTAGCTGGGAGAAAATGCTGGTCTAGACCCAGGGGGAAAAAGTTTGTTCCCAAGTACCTGGCATCCAAAGATGCACTGCCCTGTGTATGGAGGTTTTGCTAACAAAGATGCCATGGCCAGTAGCTATGAATAGAATTATATTATTATTATTATTCAGATGTACATATACACACACACTATAATTTTAATAATACAATATATCCATCTCTTCTTGATTTGGGAAACGACTGTCACATCTTTGTCATTTTCTGTAACTTTTCACCACATCATCATTATACTACTTGCTATGTGTGTGCGCAAAGGGGGGAATTCCCAGATTTTTCCTGTAAAACTCATTTGCAGCACAACCTTTTATCAAGGCATCAACAGCTACATCAACCCCGGGTTTGGCTCACCCCAGTTCTCCAGATCTAGTTCGACTTCTGTCCCCGTGAGCCAGCATGGCAAGTGCTCTGACATGCGAGTTCCTGCCCTCGAGAGCCACAGGTCGCCCACCCCTGACTTGCTGTCATGCTTCTCAGCATGACTGACTATCCACCCCCTCAAAGAATTCTGCCCTGACCATCTCCAATCCCATCCTTCGCTTTGTCAGACAGGTGTGCAGAGAAATACTCGCATAGGAACCTGTTCTGTGGTTACCACCTAACCGGTGTTTCTGAAGAGGTCTTCCACGTTCTCTCTCAGCTTGCTTACCTTTTCGCTACTGCCTGCCAATGAATTGTCAATGACCAAGCAAGGCAAGGATTGTCAGCAATAACAAGGTCTCTAAGCTTCTCAGACAAATCCACCGGATCAACCCTGGGTAGGGGTCAGAAAGTATCACCTGAATGACTCAATAGGTCTGCTCCATTCTGGCCTAGGCAGGGTGGTGGTAGGACAGGCTGCAATGAAATTCCTTGGAAGACCAGATTCATGATTTGGACCTCCTCCCCAAGCTGTCCCATATGATGAGCTTCAAGAAACTAATAGTGTCCCACAGCCTCTCCCAACAAGCTGGTCTTTGTACCGCAGTTCTCATCACTGCCTCGATGATTGCGCTCGACAGGGCTGATGGGAATTGGAGACTAGAACCTGGGTCTCCCCTGTCCCAGCCCATCACCCTAACCACTTCACCACACTGCTATATAGCCTACTTCTTCTATTAAGCCAGGACATATACCAGTAACTGTAAAGTTTACTTGCGTGCAAGGCACTAAATCACTAAAATCCCCATCACTATTAACCATTCCATTCTTGGCAGGCTGGAGCAATTGCTATTGAAATCAACCTTTTGATTTCAACAACTCTAATTTAAAGCTGTGCACCTTTCATCATGTCTATGTCACTTTATTTGCCACTAAACATAAAATAAGGCAAGGCAAGGCATTGCATTGCATCATAAAAATTCCTTCCTCGCACACTGTTGCAAAACTTCATTACAGCATGCTATGAATCCCTTAGGGGTTCACATTCAGTTGTTTATGAACAAGAGTAAAAATTGAAATGCACTTGTCAGGTGTCAGCCACTTTCTCACAGAAGGATTGGGGGCAACATATTATGGTTTTATTAGTTATTTTGTTTTAAAGCTACCAATAAACATGATATTGCTTATACCCATAATGAAATGCATTTTCTTTTTTCAAAACATCACCAAAGCTCAGGGAATACAAGGCAAGGACGACAACAAGCAAGGTGCACTATTGTGAAATATCTTTTGTCTCTGCCCTTCAGGAGAAGCATGTACAGCGATGCTTGGTCTGCATCTAGGAAGTGTGCTCTAAAGGAAGGGCAAGTGTCCTTTGTCTTTGCAGAGGAAATCAAACACCTGCTCCATGTAACCGGAAACCACTTCCACTAGAATTGGGAAATGAGTGTCTGCTTTGCGCGTACAGTCACAACAGAGGGGAAACCAGAGCTGGTTCGCACGTGCTGATGTTCATCCCAACATCTGGCTACAGCATCAAGTGGTGACTCTCATCTGGTTCTTTGCACCTTGGAGCCCAAAGACTGTAGGTGGAACTTACAAATTGCCTTTGTAATTTGTAGCCAAGTTTACACAGCTATGAGTTTTTAATGGCCAGGCTTCACACATGCGCTTTTACGTATCTTGTGGTGCAAGGTGCAGTTGCACATGTGAATGAGTCACCACAGATGAGGCAGAAAGTCTGCATCATGCTGCTCATTGCATAATGATTTTCAAGGGACCTGGCCTAAAAGTAAGAGGCTGAACACCACCAAGTCCCTCCTGCTGTGGCTTCAGTCTGCCATCTTGCATATTAATGCCACCACTGCTTGAAGGCTTGCAGGGCCTCTGAGGTCTTTGACAGCACAGGACCCAACCCACAGCACAAGGACAATTGAGATATTAGGTTTGCTTTTTTGTCTCCCCCAATACCAGGGCAATGCATCATCCATTGGAACAATTTGATGTGAGCCCACAACACCAGCCCTTTCTCCAGACTTCCCCAACCAGGTACCTTCCAAATGTATTGGATTATATCTCCCATATTCCCAAGCCACCACAGCCATTGTTGGTTGGGAATCATGGAACTCATAACCCAACACTTCTGGATAGAGTATCAAGTGGAGGAAGGATGGTTTACATGGTCCCACTGTGTCCATAAGCTCTGCACAGTCTGTTTATTCACTCAGCTGACAGTCATCCAGTAGAAAGTATATGAGCCAGCCTCCAGTGGTGAATTATTGCCCTAGGCAGATTTAAGTGAGACACATTCACACAGGAACATGCAACCACATAATAGAGATTAGAACAGGGGCTCAGACTGAGGGAGGCATTGGGCAAAGTGTGGCACTGTAGCCAAAGTGGGGCTTGGATCTTTCCGACACAAGCCGGCTAATTTATCACCACCTCTCCATGTTAAAGTTCGGTATGCCAGGAGTTACCACCTCAGCGTTACATTCAATAAGGGGCAATGCTCAAAGTCACAGGAATTAAAAAGGAATCCCCATCTCTTCTTCTCCTGCTCCTACAGTTCTACTTCCCTAGAAAAGACACTCCCAATTTGTAGGGCTCAAGGGTATTCACTCATCTTTACCAATGGAGAAACCATGCAGTTTGCCCTAGTCTAACCATCCCATTGCAGGGTCACCCTGGGCATTAGGTGGCACGAATCCTGCCACCTCTCCAAATGCCATGGACCTACCAACCTTATCCGACACTTTCCCTCCCTCCTTTCCTGCACTTACCATTGAGCTGGTTATACACAACTTCCTCCAGGTGGTCCAGCCGCTGCAGGATGGACTCCCGGTCCAGCAGGGCGCCCACCTTGGCGTTCCTGCTCCTCATCCGTCGGTCAGCACTCCTGACAATCTGCACCAGTTCCTGGGAATGATCCTGGATCCTGCAGTAGACCGAGAAGAGGATGATCCCAACAAAGACCAAGATGTTCACAGTCAACAAAGTTTTGATTTTCCTTGCCACCGCCATGGAAGCCGCTGGGTCGGGGAGGCATCAAGGCATGGTAGCCAGTGCCCTCGGAGTTGCAGCAGCATCTAAGGCAGTCATTTCTGCCTGCGGAAGATTTGGGGAGGGGGTGAGGGAGGGAGGGAGGGCTCGGCAGATTCCCACCTCCACCCCTCTTTCCGCTTAGAGAAAGAGCGGATGGGGTGGCGGGCAGAGAGCCCAGCCGACGGCCGCCGCCAGAGCTGGACTGATGGAAGGAGCTGTCCTTTCAGCACCACGGCGCTCTCCCCGCCACCGCCTCCTTTCCTCAGCAGCGGCTGAGGGGACCCGGTCACCTTCCCCTCTCTTTCGGCTCTGCGGGCAAGAAGAGGAGCCCTTTCCTTGGCTCTTGCGACGGGGGCTGGAAGACTGGCGATGGGGGGATGCACACGAAAAGGGACACGGCCAAAGCCAGCCCGGCCGACGCTCAGCAGCCTCGCTCACACCAGGCCAGCCTCGCCTGTGCAGCGAGAAACAGAGCTGTGGAGAGAGAGATGCCCAGACAAGGATGTTGGCGAGGAGCGGGGCGGAGGGAGGGAAGCGCTCGTACTTGATCCCTGCGCGCTTCCCTTCCCTCCTTCCCTCCCTCCCTCCCTCCCGTGTGTGTGGCTGGCTGCGCGAGCGTGTGCTTTCCAATGGCATTGGCTTCTCCCCCTCGCAGAGCGCCGGTGCGAAGTCACGTGCTTGCCTGGGTGTAAGGGGGGGTGAGGGGAGGGGAGGGGGAGGGCGAGGAGATGGAAGGCATTTACATTCACCGAGTCGAGCCGCTGGCTCTCCCCCAGCCCCCTATCTTGGGCCAGCTGTGCCCTCGCCACACACAAGACACCTGGAGATAAGGCAAGGAGAGGGGTGGGCAAGATCGAGCAGACCAACGTCTGTTCCCCCAAGACGTCGTGCTCTGTGGGAAGTTTCTTTGGACCACTTTGGGCAGAGGAGGCACCAAATCTACATGGGGCAGGGGGCGGGGGGAGGAAGGTCGCTTGAGTCAAGCCTGGGTCTCTTTGGAATTGCTATCAGCTTGGGCCTGCGACACCTGTGAAATCAGAACACAGGGACGGTCCTACATCCACTGCTGAATTATTTCAATTTTCTTCTCCTCCTTTTCCTTTCCTGCAGAACTCCTGGAGCACTCAAGTGCTGGGGAATTTTGCTCAAGTAATGATTCATGTGGGGTAACACTGTCCTCATTACCTTCCTCCCAAAAATGTTTCATTCCCCCACACATCCACACCCTTCATTTCGTGTGTTTAAACATTCCTTCAGTGGATGGTAAATTGATATTGTTTCATACATACAATCAAAAAGCAGGACATTGGACAATAAAATGGGAGGGCTCCTTTCTCCCCTCTTTTTCCTCTTTTCACTCAATATGCTCTCCAAGAATAAATCAACCAGCCAATGGGAGGTTGGATTATTCCAACTATGTTGGCATTTATTTGCATAATTAAATTGCTCACCTGCGGTGTTTACATCAGTCTTCCCCAAGCAGGTGTCTTCCAGATGCGTTGAACTTCAACTCAACTGTATGGCCAATGCTCAGGAATTCTGGAAGTTGTAAACCAAAACATCTGGAGTCCCGAACTCTGGGCACAGGTGGGATAAAAAGAAATACAACAGGTTGGAGAGGGTCGTGTGTGGAAATCTACACAGATGCCACAGAGACCATTGGGGCATGGACCTCTGCCCTGCAGCCTTGATGCGCAGAAGCATCCACATTCGGAGGCTTGTGTGTGTGCTATGCCCAGCATGAGGCATGGGCAATGTCCACCATGGCTCACACTGGGTATTTTAGTTATGTGAGCATTTTTGGCTATCTAGAGAAAGTGCTGAGCAGTGGGAGGAAAGGAGGCTTGGACACTGATAGGAATGGGCATAAGACTGTGGCTCCACCTTGCTCTCCTCTCTCCATCTCTGGTATGCCCCCTTCCCCCTGCCCAACATGAGGTCCCCTTGCAACCTTAGTGGGAGACAGCAAGTACCAGAAGCTTTACCTTTGGAGTCCAAGCTCCAAAGGTAAAGTCCAAGCTCCAAATCTGTAGGATCCTGAATCTGGGACTGCAGATAATTCAATGCCCGCCCGCCGCCCCCCCGCCCAAATGGCAGGGAGCCATAGCTTGGCACCCAAAAGAGGCTTCCTGTTTTAACAAACCTGTTTTGAGCCACAAGTCTTGCCGAGTTCCATGCATGGGCTGGTCTGGCCTTCTCGCTTGTTCTTTGTCCTTTGGCCCCAACCTCAGTTGCCAGCTTGTCCTTTGCCTCTGCCCCCAGGCTTATCACAGCAATGAATGTCTTCTTATCAATTTCATTCCTATAGTAAAACTCTCTGGGCAGTTCATAGCAGTCCATAAACCTAAGCACAAAAGAAAAGATGAATAGCAATAAATATACATTGGCGCACCTTTGTATGCCATTAAATGCTAGGGAGTAGGGGGCAGTCTTAACCTGGCACCTAAAACATGATAACGTTGGAAACAAGTAGGCCTCAGTGGGAAGATCATTCCAGAATTGGGGGGCCACCACTTAGAGAGCCCTTTTTCTTACTGCCTTCCTCCAGACCTCCCTCCAGGTAGCAGCCGGATGAAGGCTTCTGATATACATCATGGTGCTGCTAGCCGTAATCCTACATCCTGCCTTTTTGTTGGGTTATTTTTCATCCTTGATTATTGGCTTCTCCATGGCACTTTCTGGCTCATCACACACTGCTACCTGTGGCCCATGAACCCACTCACAGGGAAAGGGCAGGCCTCTTGAGTTCTCTCAGCTCCATCCAGAATAGCCCAACAATAACTGGAGAAGCCAGCCAGAAAGGGAAAGTGGGGAAGGCGAGAAGTCAAGAATTCTGCCTCCATATTCTCTGTCAATACATTCTCAGGGCAGAGAAAGCCAACAGTTTGCAAGTGCAGTGAGTTATGTGCAGTCGGCATTGAATTATGTATTAGCTTATTTTCATAACTTGCTCCCCGCCTCCTCAAACCCTGGTCAGGTATGCACATTTCCAAACTCTTCTGGGTAGTTCTCTGACCTTTTATTTCTTTCTGTTTTTTATCCTTTTTCCATTTCATATTTCCAGAGAATAACAACTGATTTTTTTTAAAAATGAAAAGCATTACAATGAATAAACCCTCTAGAGCTCAAAAGACCCATTTGTGCCTCACTGCACATCTACAACACACACACACACACACACACACACACACTTCCGGGCTACATGTTTTATGATTCATTCAGCATGTCAAGAATGATATTTAATCAGGTTTTCCCATTTGTATGTACAACATGTCAAATACCAAAAGCTTCAGTCTAGTTCTACAAACATCAGTGGCCTGGCATGCAGTCAGAAGTTGGCATCAGGACAGCCATCAGAGAAGGATGGTGTAACTTGACGTCCTTCATGGACCAGGGGGTTGCACCCAACGCCTTCTGGTCCCTTCCAACTCTACTGTTTTATTAAGATTCTATGGTCACCCATACTCCAACCCCAATGGCGTCCTCCAGTGGAGACCCTATATCACCTTTCCCTCTGGCCCATAGTTAGTGGGGTTGTTGGTGACCACACCTTGACAAGTGAGGATGTCCAATCTAACTTGCAAGTCATTCCAGCACTACCAATGACTGGGATCTTGCGGAGTGCAGTTCATTACATCTCTGCATTTTGAACTATACTGCCCCCACCCAACAACCAAACATGGGCATGAGAATTGCAACAGAACTTTGCTGTATGCAGTTTCTCTTCAGGGTGCCTGAAACCCAGTGCCTAAAATGTAGATTCCTGACCTCAAATACACTATTTTCTGACTTACCACTGCAGTGCATCATTCTGAGGAGTAAAAATTGGTACACTTGCCCACCTAAACACTCACCAATCAGAGTTTTGTAAGTATGCTGAAGAGCTTGCTACAGAATCACTCTCCCCAGCCCTTCCAGTGTACAGAAAGTTATACTAAAGAGCAGCACAACTCCATTAATTCTCAATGCAGTGCTGTGACTAAGGAAAGCCAACAGAGAGCAGCAGTAAAACTCTCCCTACAGGTCCACAAAGGCTTTCCTAAAAGCCAGAAGGAGAGGGTTGCCCAGGGATAAGATGCAGAAGTGATAAGAGAATGTCCTCCAGGCTAAGCTGAGCCCCCCACCTGGATGTGGGCCTTCACAAGTGCCCAACAATGCTGACTGCAACACGAGCCCCTAAGTCCCTTTCCTTTCACTTCCGTGGAACAGGGCAAAGGGGCAGGAATTTGGAAAACCACCGCAGAATCAACACCCTGCCCAGGTAAAAACAGCAACAATGCAACATGGTTGCTAACGTGTTCGTATAGGTTGACCGGGCACCATGCCCAGTCCTTTGGTACCTCACAGAGCAGGTGAACTGACTTTCCTGTTCAGGCTCCTGGTTCAATTTGTTACTCAGTTAGCTGCTCGGATGGAAGGAACAAAAGGCTTCCACTTTAGCAGATGTTATGGAATCCCCTCTCCTCAGATGCCTGCGTTTTAATGCATATGATAACGCAGAACAGCCCTGCAGCTACATCTCTCATGCCAACAAACAAAAGAGTTTTGGTCCCAGCAGCCGCCAGGCAACAAAGTCACCTCTGATTCTGTATTCCAAGCACAATGGTGGGAAAGGTAGGACTATTACCTTCCAGCCCATCCTGTGTTACCACCTGCTGCTTTTAAACAATACCAGTAATGAGATTTTGAAATTTTATTTTTAACACCACCACTGCCGGAGCCTTGAAAAAAGGAAGGCTCTGGCAGCTTTTCACTAGGACAAAGAATTCACTGCGGCCCCCTGGAATGGGCATCCTTCATTGTTGGGGGGATTTGCCACTAGGAGGAGCTGTTGGAGATACTGCAGAAGCTTGCTTGGGGAAAGGCTGGGGAATAAGCCTGCCTGGAACTCCAGAGGGGGACTGACATTCAGGACTGAGTGTGATGCACCCATGGGATCCTTCGGCAGGTAAGAAACCCCCAGTCCAGAAAAAGGGGATACAGGATAAAGTACATCAATCTACATTCAGAAGGGTTTAGAGCAGGGCTGAGTAACCTCAAACCCACAGGGAAAGTCTGGCCCACCAAGGGGCCACATACAGTCTTGTGTGGTTTTTCACTTGATCAATTTGCCCTCCCTCTTTCTCCACCCCCTTTCCCCTGCCTGCCAATCATGTAGTAATTTCCTGGTTTTTCCTCCATTGTAAAAACTTTGAAATGCCTCCCTTAATGCTTCATTGCCGGGTTGAGTATAGGTAGAGTGTGGGTTGTCATTGAACCATAGGTTGTTTTGGAGTGCAAGTTATGTCATCTGAACCTGGCTGTGGTAGCAAGTTGTGGTTTGTTTAGGGCAGACCACTCCCAGCTCTACAACAAGCCATGGTTTGTTGGCACAATAGTCTTCAGACAATGCAATAACTCACCTTTGAACAATAGCTCTTGAGACTGGGTTCTCATTTGTTCCAGCCCAGTGCCTAAAAAGCAGATTCAGCTGTGGCTCAAATAAGCTGCTTTCTGACTTACTGCAACAGTGGGTCATTCTGAGGCATGAGATTTCGAACACCTGGCCACCTAAACACCCACAGAACAGAATTTCATAAGCACATTGAAGAACTTGCTAGAGAATCTCTCTCCCCAGCCCATCCACCTCATGTCAGTCTGTAATATTTATGTGAGCCTAGCAAGAAACAAAATCCAGTCCCATATGGATTAACAGCTCTTAAGACTATCAAGTTGCATTTTTGATAGGCACTAAATATACTTAAAAGAGACATTTCAATTGCTGTTTAGCAAACAAACTCATGGAAGAGAGAAGGCATTACTGCCTCTTAGCATGCATTGTTCAATACAATTAACAAGGTCCCCTGCCAGAAGAAATGCTGAAGGCAACCATGGGTGATAGGCTGAGGTTACTCAACTTTTGACAGAAGGTTAGGGAAGACTTTCCAGCAGCAAAAGTAATTGTCTTTTACAAAATTGTTCAGCTGTTGTTGAGTAGTGTTTTATTCAGAGGTAGAATTGGGCAAGTGGGCACACCACAAGAATCCCAGCTGAATTCATTAGAAAGTGAAGGATTCTGAAACCAAAAGAAGACCAGGCATCAAGGAGTTCATGAAAAGAGAGAGAGAGAGAGAGAGAGAGAGAGAGAGAGAGAGAGAGAGAGAGAGAGAGAGATGGGCTAACAGATGAAATCTTCAATTTTTACCCACTCTGAGCATTAATGCAGTGGTAAGTTTTGATGTGCAGGAGCTCATAATGATATCCATGAGCCCCCAAAGGCAGGTCTCAGTGTAGTTCCATATCTAGATATGTGTGTAACCCATGCACGGATAAATAGATAGATGCACAAATTGGCTCAGGATTTTCTTTTCCTGGAACTAGGGAGAAAACTCATCTAAAAATCTAGAAACCCATTCTTCCTGGTTGGTTTGCATAGATTGGATTTTGCAAATAATTATTGTGACTTAAATAGAAACACAGTGTGCCTTACTCTAGCACAGAAGACTGATAATGTATCCTGTGTGCTAAACTCCATCTATTGTCTAGGTGTGGTTGGTGGGCAACTTCAAAGCCTGGCTCTCAGTTTATAAACCAGAACTGGACTGAATAGTCCTTCCAAATGGAGGCAAACCCTCTGCCAGCCCTTTGAACACACACAGCCACCCTATTCACCAGCCCAACTCTTGTTGCCATCCTGTGTACATGTTTCATTTTGAAGACTTTCTCAAATGATCTCCCAGGGAAGACCTTGATGGGCTCATTAGGGGAGCAACTGCTCTGAGCCTGGATAGGATATTGCACTTATCTGTCAAAAGCAAGCATAAAGAGGTGGGTGGTAACACATTTCTGCTGGTGACCTGGGCTTATGCTGGCAAGTTGGAACTAGTTTCAACTAAAAAGGGCCATGCAGAACTGGCAGAGCAAAATCAGGGAAGAAAAGGGGATGCGCACTGCATTTGGGAAGAGAGGTATAAGAGGTGCTGTGGAGGTTATCTTGAGACGGAGAAAAGTTCCACTAAAATCAGAATATAGGTTATAGGTTATATCCTCCATTCCAAGTTTTTGAGGAAGGGTGTAGAATCTCAGCCCCGAAAGTGTTTCAGTGTCCACCATTTCACACTCACACAGATATGTACCCCCACATCCCTTACCTCATGTAGCATTTAACCAAAGTGATAATGAGGTCAATTGAGCATATAAAGAGGACAAAGAAGAAAGCATATAAAATTTGGGGAGAGGCAGTGATCAAGCAGAGGAGAACTATCTAATTGTGTTGACTCAGGACAAAATGACTTACCTGTGCAATCCAAGAAATGGATTCTCAGAACTCAATCACACCAAGATCGTTGGAACTGGCTCCCAGAAAAATGGGCACTGAATTTCAGCATTAAGCTCTAATGAAGTCAAGCTGATCAACTACCTCCAGGAGGGACTGTCTGTCCCATCAGTGAAATGGCCAGAAATGGAGATCTCCCGCTTGCTTTCTGCAGAAGAGGTCAAGTAGGGCTGAAACAAGTCAGTGCTATTTAGTAATTGGATATTATTGAGGCCTTGTGGACAAGTGTATCTTAAAGGACTGAATGCTGGGGGTGGGGGTAGCAAAAGTTATATATTTGCCCCTTTGCAGACTATGTTGGTGTTCCTAGCAAACACTTAGGCTAACCAGCAGTCAGGGCTTGCAAAAGTACTTTGCACCTTGTCTGGTTTCCAGATCTGGTATCTCAGTCTTGCCTTCACACGACAGGTCGAAACTATTTTATTTATGTTTCCTGAATGGTCAGGCATTGTTCATTCTGCCTTCTGCTCATTGGCAGAATTTATTTATTTATTGAAACCAGAATTTCATTCTGCATACTCGAATTCTGTTTAGTAGCAGGCCACATTAGTGCCAATGCACATCTGTGCAAATATGCTAATACAAGTTATCCTTGGTGTAAATTAGCACACTCCACCCCCAACTCCACCTGGCAAAATGTGAACAAAACCACTGACAGATTCACAGGTTGAATTCATAGGCATCAGAATTCATTTGAATCCCCTAAGAATTTCTCCAACATCCCTAACTTAGGATGCAGCATATGTTCCATTAAACTGTTGGGCAAATTATTTTGGTACTCAGTCATGCTGAAAAAGGTGGCAAAGACATAATCTCATCACAGGCAAATGGAAGTATTTTCCATTTCTCTAAATGACAGGAACTTTCTGGGGCTCTCTCTTATAGGGCCAACTTCACTGAAATGAGAGCACACACTAAAGAAGCATCTGCTTCTCCACAAATGTACAAGCTGAGCACGGCAGCACATGCAAGCAAAGGACAGTGTTCTCCTTCAAAGCAGCGTCAGCGCACTGAAGCTATTGCATGCATTTTGCACTACTACTCATAGCTTAAAAAAACCTAGACCAAATATAAATCTACTTCCTACCATTGGCCCATCAAGGCTGGGGCTCCCCAGACTTGTGGGCAGGGGGTCCTGGGGGGATTCTTTCCTAACATTGCTAAGTGAGACTATTTACTGGCAGACAGAAACTGGGACCCTCTGTGAGTCGTGTTTCTATCCCTGCACCACAGTCCACCCTGTGTTGGGGAAAGATGCCCACCCATTTGCAGTTCACATCATGCCTAAGCTTGCCTCTCTGTTCTGCCACTTCATTGGCTATCTGGTAAATGCAAAGCTTTTCCTTAGGAATTGGAGGCATGTGGACGTAACATCTGGCTAGCAAAAATGAATCCTGGAGGGGAGAATCCAAGGACATGCTGGTGGGGGTGGATGAGCTCATGCTGTTTTAAATGCTATCTTTCTCTGTTTGCAACACTGCTGTGCACTGATACACAATCGTAGGACAAGCTGAATGAAACCCAACTGCTTCTTGGGTAGGGATGTTTAATGCCTTTGAGGAGAGTCCCATAATGTAGACAAGAGAGGTCCAATGAAGGATAGCATGAGGCTGTTTCACTGGAGTTGTGTCCAATTTCAGTGTTCAAAGACCAGACTCCTCAAATGCTCAGGGGAGTTTGCAAGCAATCCATACAGAATTGGGTCAAGAAGCTGATATGGACATGCTGTTCCTTTAAACCAGAGATGAGGAGCTCTTTTGACCAGAGGGTTGGGTTTAATTTTGGAAAATCTCTCAAGACCTCCAGGGGTGGGTAGGTCTGAAGACAAAGTGGGAGCAGAGTCATAAGCAGCAGGGCTGAAATGAACATCAGCATATGGTGGTTTGAAGCTCTTGCTGCCAGGAACTAAGCTTTAGGAAAGGCAATTTAACATTTTAGAAGATGCGGAAAGACTACATGAGCTGGGAAACTAAATTATCGGTGTTTGGGGCAAAGGGGAGATTTCACCTCTGCATTAAGGCATTTGCTGTGGACTACCAAGATAATACAATTCACTTTGATGAAGTTTGTACTGCAGAATTGTCTGGGTAAAACATTCCTGAGCTGTGCAAACAGCACAATTATGTGATACAGCTCTTGTTGAATTGGATATTTTAGATTTTTTTATGTTTTTATTCCCTGCATATAGAAAATTAACACATCAGGAAGATGGTTATCATAGATTATGCCTTCCAGACATGCTTGTTTTCTAAGTGCAGGGAAGTAACTGCTCTTTTTGATATGGGGGAAGTACTCAGACTTGTAACACTCCCCAACAAAATTCAGTCTGTTGTGCTACAACTTAGACACATATTGCTCATCACAGTGAGAACTAGACTCTTGCCTTAAACCAGATTTAAAAAAAAAATCTAGAGGGGAAATACACCAGTCACGTCTAAATTGGCCCTAGTAAGTTATTTATGATACTCTTTTTACAAGTATGAAAAATCTCCAGACAAAAACCTTGTGGCAACCCATTACTCTTATTTTTCCCCTCCTTCTTTTCAGAATAATAAGTCATTTGATTAGAGAAGGGAAGAAACCTTCTGTTATTGGGTGGAGTTGGAGAATAGACAGACAAAGCAGTAATGGGGTGCATTTACACACATGCGTGTGCATACACAGGGGGCTAGAAAGGCCAAGACACACTGAGTACACAACAGCAGAGATACAGAGGGTAAAACATACATTGAACTCATGAACAGCCCATCCCTCATGCATTTTCAAAGCAGTAAATCCAACCGATACCATAGAATCAACACTGCTTTTGTCACCCAAATCCCTCCTCTGCCCCCGTATCTTGAGCCATGATGAAAGTGGGGCTCCAACCAGACTTTAAATTCCTTACAGAGTAAGAGAGGGTTCTGGATCCCACATTACAGAGGCTGGCCTGCACCGGGGTGGAGCTGTGGCACACCCAGACATCCAGAGCCAGTTCGCCCAAGAGGACATGGCAACACAAGGGTGAAAGAGGCCCTCCCAAGACTCAGACGCATTGCCTACCCTTCTTGCAGGCAACCTGGATTTGTTGTGCACATGCTCCCCCTGGAGGGCAGGAGGGTGTACTGCTGCAGGAGCCAGGATGAGCAAAACGCCCATAAGGAGAGCTTGTGCAGCAAAGCAGACTGAGCAACGATTTGGTGCTCACAAATGCTCTGAAACTGGCTCAGTGACTTTGGCAAAGGATGGTCTCCCAATGCACCTGCATTTACTTGGCTTCAGAGCTCCATGGAGGAAGGGTGGTCTGTACAACACAAGAAGCAAAGAATCGCTCCTGCTGCAATTTTTAAAATAGCGAAGATGCATCAGCTAGTCGGAGCGCCAGCTGCCAACACACAAAAAAGCCATGCCAAGGCGTGTTTGCAAGCTGCCACTCTGTAGCAGCACCAGCTTTCAGTGTTCATTGCAATTTGCAAGCAGCAGCAGACTTGCGAGGCACGTGGCCCAGTTCGAGGAAGGTACCTTTGAACAAGGCGCAACTTGGAGCGCACCTTTCTGCACTATTACAGCAAGCTCTGCTCTTTCACGGCTTGTGTTAAGCATCCGCCACATCGCTCAGGCTGGCAGCACTGCACAGCAAGCCCAGAGATGATGGTAGGGCATCCATCCGCACAGACCATATACTTGGCCTATAGCAGTGGTCCTTGTGGCATCTTGCATTAAAACAGAGGCAGCAAGTGCTACAAAGCCCCTTGTGCTTCCACCCATCAAAGGTGGACATCCCCTCTCTAGATGAGCCAGTGGCCTGGGACAGCATAAAGGGGTTTCACGAAGGATCCTCACTGGGGGGCTTACAATTTCATCACGCAGAGGAGGAAGGCAAAAGCAACTGCTTTGTTGAATCAAAGTTCCCATGAAAGCCCAGGGAGTGACGGAATGAGAGAGAGTTCTGTAAGTGTTCATGGTGGCAGGGTGACTTACTGAGAATGTGGGGCCCTTGATGGCTGTTTCTTCCTCTGGCTTTACGTGTCTTCTCCCCATCAGCACAAGCGGCTGTGGCAACCTGCAAGAAGGAAAGGCAGGAGCTGCTGCAGTGGACTCCTCTTCTGCCCACCTCTCCATCTAGATTTTCTCCCACGTACAGACACAAACCACACAGAAAGAGATAAGCCTTCTGCCAGAAGGACTCTCTGGTGTTGTGACCTGTCCATGAATCCAGAAAAGTAAGGGGAGCGCCCAGGGCTCATCCTTAACCATTGCCCTGGATTCAGCAAGAAACTATTCCATCTAGAACCACCCGTTGGCTCTGAGCTGTGCATCACACCTCCATTTATGATAGCCAAGGAGTCCCATGCTTTGCCATATTTTATTGATGAGCTCGTTCCAGAAATAGCAATAGGCAGCTTTGCTGATAAAAACGTTTGTGTGTGCGTGTGCTTTCTGCATTCCCAAGCAAATATTGTCTCTTGCTACTGACGGGGATGCGACAGAGCAGCTGGTCTAACTCTCTTGATGAAAAATAAAAATATAAAGCTTCCAAAGGCTAATATATGTTGGCAACGAAAGGGCTCCAAACATCCTATTTCTGGGGAAGGGGGGAACTATTGATCACGACATATTTGAATTTTAGATTGTCCAGCACTTCCATTTTTCAATTGGTTCCTGCCTAATGTTCAAGGTCAGGAAAGTCAATTGAAACTTAATTCTTCCTTTCTTTGATTTATGGTTGCTCTGACTTTAAGTACCTGATTCAGGATGGATTCAATTGTTTTGTGTTGAAAACAAATGGAGAGAGCTGTTTTTCTGAGGATTTTGCCTTGAATAATAGCTCAATGTGTTTTATCATATTTCACAGCCGTATTTTAACAGAAAGTATTATTCACTCGTTTCCTCTTGTGGCAATGCTCATACGTTACCAGAAAGCACAGCATCTCACCAAGACAAAAAATGGCAAAAGGTCTTAGCCTTAAAGTTGCTTGGTTTCTCAGGCTGGGCTCATAACTACTGTTCCTATCACTAGAAATATGGTCATGATTTCAAGCCTTAGTTGAGAGTTTTGTGTCTGTACTGGTACAGTCAGACCTGCTACAGCATGGGCAAGTGGGCTGTATTAAAGTTGGTATCAAAATTTGCATTTTTGAAATTTTATTTGGCTTGTGTTTAATAAGAACTAATGAAATCCCCATAAACAGGATAAATAATTTCAGATTTTTTTAAAAAAATCAAATTAGATAGAAAGCCAGATTCATAGAGAACACTAATCAAACAGCAAGCTTTGAGTTCTTATTTCTTCCAAGGCTGGGTCTGAATCCATGTGTATCCTGCCATGTTTAAAGTGTTGCATTAGGGTGGCCAGCTCTATTTTGTTTCCTGACAGGGTCCTATGGCTGACCTGCTCAAAGGGGCTGTTTTTAAAATCAGACTTTACCAAACATTGTAAAGTTCTTCATGCATGGGAACTAGGGGCTCATTTTCTGCTATGTTTAAAAAGCAATCAATGTGATAGAAAGCGAAACCCTCAGAGTCCTCCATTCGTCTATTTCTGGTCTAGAAAATGTGAGTTTGGAGGGTTTGTAATGGCCCCAGCACAAGAGGTCCAGACATTATTCTTTACCTTGCATTAAACACTGATTTGGGTTACGACGGGAGTGTTCATGGAAAAGTAACTTGAACAGAATAAGAGGAAAGACATGCTCAGAAACTAGCCCCATCCAACATCTGAGAAACCAAAGGGGCCTTTTACCTGAGCCTGTGAATCTGTTCTATCCACTTTTGGTTACTTCACAGACTTGAGTTCCAAGCACTGCATGAAAACATGGTCTTGAAAACAGAAGGGAAACTGGAGGATTACAACAGTATCTGAAGAACCCACAAGCAACCTTGAGGGCATAATAAAAAAGCTTTGTGTGGGGATCATGGGAGAGGGAAGGCGCTTAACTTTCAAGGGTGATTACCATGAAGAGTTTTGCTCTCTTATCTCTTGCTCTTTCTTACTTCTCAGAAAGGAGAAGCAAGAAGAATGGGATTTGTTTCTCTGCTGTTGCTAGCAATGGCATCTTTTTCCTCCACCCTGTTTCTCAAAAGGTACCACTGGGATGATAAAACATTGCCACCCATACATTGAAAGTTAACCCCTCACCCCACCCCCTGCCCGAGTTGTTTTTTGGTGAGGTGTTTTTGCTCATTTCTACCACACAAATCAAAGAAATCTTTGAATCAGCACTAGAAGAGCTATGATACCTTTTTTTGGAATATATTGATGCTGCTGAATTCATTTCTTCGTGAGGAGTGGTCTACTGTTGAAGGCCCTCAGGATGAAGGAGGTTTGGCACCCATTCCCTAAGGCACAAAAAGATACCCAGGCACCATCCCTGGCCCTCTTCTGTGTGCTCACAGCAGAATACCACTGAAACCCCTTTCCAGATGCATTTGGCCAATGGCTCTCTGTTTTCTGGGTTCGGGACACTGGGTGTTCATCAGCAATTCCTTCTGAGCCACTCCTCAATCCCTTTCTCTTATCTGTAGGAAAACAAAACCTAATAGCCTTACTGACTGCAGCACCTATCTTCCATTTCTGCTTCCTAATCAGTTGTCAGGGACAATCAGCCGAATGCTCCAGAACACGTGTTCTTCACCTCTCCTATTCCCTTTTGAGGATGGCTTTGATCCAGGTAAATGTTGGAAGTGCAACCTTCTGTATTTCAACAGCCAGTTCCCTTTGTGTTCCGTTACTTCCCCCAGTAGCTGTCCAAACATATATTTCAGAACACAGAGAGCGATAAGAAGCCAGGAGAGGAACGAAGCAATCTGTTTGGTTAACAGCACACAGGGACATCCATTCTTTACATACACAATTACCTGTGTGCCATCAAGTTGCCGCTATTTCAAAACACAGAGCAGTTCCATCATGCTGGTTATTCTGGCATCTGAAGGCATCCTGCTGCGAGCCATAATTCTGTGCTGACTTGCATCGGAGGATAATCTGGCCCACGGTGGGATGAGAAAACCTTGGCCCACAAATATTAGCCTATCAGGTTGGACCATCCAGCCCACAGGGATCAGACAAGCCCCCACCCCTAAATTCCTTGGAAGTTCCCCATAAGCTGCCAATGGGGATGATGGCATCTGACCCTCCACCCCCAACACCTGACTTATAGTCTCTTTTAAGGTTCTTGTTTGGTTTTGCTTTTTTATCAGGTGTTTTCTTTATTAAAACCTATCTGCCTTGGTCCCAATGTATTGGGATGTTAACTCAAGGGAGCTTTAAGATACTTGTCCTAAAGGTATCTGCTTGCCTTGCCTTAACATCCCATTCCACCAACTGCCTTGCTCCTTCCCTTGGTCTGGCTAGTACAGGGAGTGAGGAAGGAAGGAAGTGCACTAATTTGGGATAACTGATTTCAATGGGCCCAGTCTAAGTCTGGATCTAACGCATCATGGTTTATGCTTCTTCTATACCACCCAAGAGCTGAAGCTCTCAAGGTGATCCACAATAACTCAAAAGCATAAAATACTGTATAAAATTTAAATGTTTAAATTGACAGCATAAAGTAGAAGTAAAAACTAGAGTAAGATTTAAAATATGCTACAGGAGTTAAAAAAAACAAAACTAGAATCCTTATAAATAAGGTCATCACCTGGTATTAGAAAGAGCTGTCAGGAGACCCTCTCTGGGAAGTTAATTCCAAGGTTGGGGTGCCACAGCAGAAAAGGCTCTGTTCTGTTGGTGGCAGGGCTCCCGCAGAACTTCTGAGGAAGATCTCAGGGTCTGGACAAGTATAGATGGGAAGAAATTATCCACGAGGTCACCTGGCCCAAAGCCTTTTCAGGCTTTGAATGTTTTCACCAACATTTTGGATCAGACCCAGATACGGACTGGCAGCCAGCGCAGATGCACAAGTCCTGACTTAATAGGATCATGTTGGCAAATTCCTATTAGCAACCTGTTCTGGCCAGGGCAGCACTAATCTACACAAGAGGTTACCAAAGCATGAATAAGCAAAGCTAGACAATCTCTCCAGATGAGGATGCATTTCAGTCGAAGCTGATAAAAAGCTTTCCATGCCACGAAGCCCACCTGTGCCTCTGGGGATAATGCTGGCTTCAGGAAGAGTCCCAAACCATGGAGTCCTCGCTAAAGCAAGCAGAACATCACTCATCCAGGCAAGCAAGCCACCCCCTCCATTACCTCTGTTCTGCCTCTCAGTTTGCATCTCAGTTTATTGGCTCTCATCCAGTCCATTACTGTACTCAGGCAGCTGTTTGTTTATTTGTTTAAATTAAATCAATAGAGGAATTCTAATATTTTGAAAGGAATGAAGTAATCAAGAGCTGCAGTATCCCAGGAGGCATCTCAGAAGCGTCCTTCTGATTCAGCTGAGTTGTAGCATTATGATTATAACAGCAGTGGTGGGGAAAGGATTATTTACAGAGCACATAGTGCAACCGCGTTCCATGACTTAGAGCCCAGTGGAAAATGTTGGACTTCTGCTCCAAGCGGTGCTGGCCAGTGCACCACAGGTCAAGGAGGATGGGACCTGGCAGCCAAAACAGCTGGAGAGCCCTGCTTAGGGTGGACTGCAGTACAGCAAAATGGCCATCAGGAGGCATAAGCATTTGTCCTCTGTGATGAACCAGTAAACTGCAGATGTCAGCCCACCCCGCTGACCATGGGAAACCTCAGGACAGGAGGGAGTATATACGTCTTCCTCTTCCAGCTGGGAATGCATTCAAAATTCTCCTGATAGCCCCTATGTATTAAATCCTGAACTGGTGGCATGTTTAATACAATAGCATCAGTATGTACCACCATTCCTGCACTAACCGCTGGTATCCCCCAAAGTCACTATCCAATCTGAAAACAAAGAGATTAGCTTAATTAAGGAATTCTGCTTATGAATAGAAGACAGACCTCCACACCATAATCCATATTCATTGTTATTCACCACTCACCCACTGGTTTTCTGCTTGGGACTGTTTTTATAGGCTGGCTATACTAGAGTAATTGATGGCAACATTTATTGTAATAAACTGTTTGAAGGAGGGAGGAAAGCATCCATTGCTTGATAAATTTATTTTCCATTAGCCAGAAGTGCTTGATCAAGAAACTTGATAAATATCAATGGATGCAGATCTGGTTACTGGTGTCAAATGCAGCAGGTTTATTGGAAGAAAAGGAACATGTGAAAACTTTATTGAATCAATATTTCCCTTGATTAGAGGCAGCAGTTCCATAGAGTCAGGCACATCTTAACAACTGCTAAAAGGTCATCTTTTAGTTCATTATTTAGCATTCATTTTAGGAGTGTTTTGCACATCGCTCTTGCCAAAGAGGAGCTATTGGATTTTAACGATATCTTCCCCTGAATAAACTCAAACTCTCTCACCTCTTCAGAAGTCTTCTCCAACAATCTGTTATCGACCACTCATCCAAGGCATCTAGCCTAGCACAATTATCTAAAGGAAGCCTTCCAATACTGCACAGAAACTTAGCACACATTTGTGTCTGGTACACAGAGGTGTGAAAACAATTTTATGAAGAAGTGTAACCCAGTTTCAAACTGATTTAACTAGCATGGATCCCAACTGAGGAGATGTGGGAAAGCACATTTTCTAAAGAGATGGGGAACTCTAGTAAACAATGCTCAGGGCCCAAATAAACTTATTCCTACAGTTCTTTTGCTGCTCATTTCTCTGATTTGAAAATGATTTCAAGTCCAGTGTGCAATGCATAATTTGCAGCCAAGAACCTACCTATTGATTTATTATGAATAATGATTATATTTGTAAACTGTCCAATAGCTGAAGTTTACAATGATGAGTAATGTTAAGCCATACTTACGAGCCAGTGGCATGAATGGGATTGTAGCTGCATGGAAGGAAACCGCTGGAAGGTCTGGTTGGAGACACAGGTATTCCTCTTGTTGCAAAGAGCCAGAGTTGAATCCTAGGCAAGCAGGATTCTGATCCCGTGGACTTGAGCTGGAGTGCCAAACCAAACTGGAGATCCAGTGAAATCAGCATTCATAAAGCAAAACAGAATATGACCACCTTTGCTCCTGACCAATTTTCTCACTAGAATTTCTCAGCTTGCAAGACTTGCATGCACAGTGATGAACTCCCCGTCCCAAACAACCAGAGAAAAGTCTCTGCAAACATAGCAGAGGAAAGGAACTGCTGGGCTTTTAAAGAGTTGCTCAGCTGCACCTTTGGATATTGCCCATTCTCATCCAGTAGAGCACGTTGACAGAGGCTGTAGGATCTCAATCAAGTCCAACAAGCTTTGTGTCTCTGGAACACATTCCATAAGTAGTAGGGGTGAAACTCAGCAACAGAGCTATTGATCTGCATGCAGGTTCAGTTCCCAGCATTGCTGGGTGGATCTGCAGAACCCTGAAGCATAGTTCCATATTAATGCAGGAAGTGCTAGCCTAGAGGACTAATCCAGCATATGGAGACCCTGTCAACTTCCTAGAAAGCATGATGGACACCCATTGGTTGGAAGGAAGGAATCGAAATCCATATTTGTTACCAATTATTGCTGAAAGCAAGATGCTTACATGTCATCACCTAAGGGACAGACTTAGATTCTGCTTTTGAGGAACTTTCAAGGGAACCAAAGTAGTCAGAGGTGGAAGTTCTGGGGTTTGGTCTATCATCTGGATTGATTCCCAGGTTTGTAATCCAGGATCTAGGAATAGTTATCACAGATGAACAGTGGATCTAGAAGGCAGAAGCATAAATAGATCAGCAGTTCTACCCAGGCAGGCTCTAGAGGTCTCTGGGTAGGTGTAGCACCTCCTTCTGTGACCCTTCCAGATTCAATTCCACTGCTGCTCAATTCAGTTTCAAGGTGGCTCCCGAGAATTTGGGCCAATCCAATAATCGGAACAGCACTATTTGGAGAACAAAGATTTTCCCTTTCCTTTCCTTGTTTCAGTGGTGAAGAGGAAGGACTTGCATTGATAGGTTTGCCACCAAATGTTGCTCAAAATAAAATTTGGAAAACAGGAAAGGCAGTGCAGCAACTCTGTGACAGGAACTCATGATGTATCGGCCCAATGAATAATTCTTCTTTGCCTGAGATGACTGAAAACAAAGAGACATTCAAACTGCATTGCCAAGGTCCACTTATCCTTGGAGCTCTGTCTCGAAGGGACTTAGTTGCTAGGGGAAGACAGGGTTTTCTTTTTGTCTATCCTTCCATCTCTGCTTCCATTAGAGTAGCTGCTGAACAAGTGGATGGGGCGAAAGAGGGAGACAAGCTTTTGAGGATGGCAAGTGGGTGACTGAGATGTTTGAGGGATGGATGAGTGAGAGGTTTAGCCAAGAGAGCTGTTGTATCAGAGAAATGATGATGTCTGAATGGACACAGATTGGAAGGGGACAGCTGAAATTAATCCAAGCCCATCCAAGTCCATCACAGCATCACTGCTGGGCACCCACAAAGACTGTATCTTCTTTCCCATGTGTTCTACACAAGCTGCATAATTGTATCTGCAAATACATTTTTCTCTCCCCCCTCCTCCGCCAGCTTTTAAAGTTTTGCCTAATTACAGAAGTAGGCTGTGGGTTTAGTTTTCTTTTCTCCACTTGCAGAACACCCCCTCCCCCGGGATGTGTCACAAAGCAAAGCAATCATGCAAAAAGATTTATGGCAGTCATTTGTTTACACAAATATATTCATAGACATTTTGAGTTCCCTCTTCTGTCTTTTTGCTTTATTTAGTGTGAAAGCACAAGCTGTTCCCAAGTCACATTTATGCATTTTGCATAAATCAGATACTACTGATATCATCATTTAAGAAAGAGACACATTCCAAGGTTCCTGCACAAAAAGGTCTGGGTTAAAGTAGTCGATGTACATTTTAATGGAAAGGGGCAATGAACACATGAGCAATGTTCAAGTAAATGCTAAATTCATTTAGGGGGAAGGAGGAAGGCGTTGGAGTAGGACTTGCATCTCTCAAGGAACGTTGTATGCCGTGTGCTGCCACTCTATGGGTGGGTTTGAAAGGTGCCAGAAGCCATGGTGAAGCATGGAGCAACACCCATGCTTATTGTGCGGGGGATTCCTTGCCTGGCCTGACTATGGGGACTCTCCATAGCCATGCCCCCTTAGGCAGACTCCTGCCATACTTCAGTAAACCTCCTCTGCATTGTTACTACTATATTGGAGGCCTGTCCTGCCATGTTTCCTCTTGAAAGGAGCCCAAGGTGACTTACATATTCCATTTTATCCTAGGAACAACAACCCTGTGAGATAGAATAGGCTGGGAGTGAATCATAGTATAGTAGAGTAGGAAGGGGCCGTGAAGGACATCAGGTCCAACTCCTGCTGTTGCAAGATGCCAAGTTACACCATCCACTCAGATGGCTGTCCAGGTTCTTTTGAATGTCTCCAGTATGGGAATGCCCACCACTTCTCTAGGCAGCTGGTTCCACTGTTGTATCGCTCTGACCGTGAGGAAGATTTTCCTGATGTCCAACCTGAATCTGGGTTGTCAGAACTTGAATTGGTTATTCTGTGTCCTACACTCTGGTATGAGCGAGAAGAGATCTTGACCTTCCTCTTTGTGACAGCCTTTGAGGTACTGACAGAGGGATACCATGTCCCCCCTCCATCTTCTCTTCTCTAGGCTGAGCATGCCCAGTTCCCTCAGTCTCTCCTCATAGGGTGGTGTTTTCACACCCTGCATCCTTTTTGTTGTCCTCCTCTGGATCCTTTCTAATTGTTCTGCATATTTCTTAAACCTTGGTGCCCAAAATGACTGGCCCAAAGTTACCCAGTGAGCCTCATGGCTGAGTTGGGACTAGAACCAGGGTCCCTCGGGGACCCAGTCCAATAGTCTAACCACCACACCACACTGGCTAAGCAGCTGAAGAGATGCAGAAGAGTTCTACACGCACCCTCCGCCACGCAGCTCTTTAACAGTTTAGATAAATAATGGCATGGAGAAGTTTACTCTGAAAAAGATGCTGAAACAGATGGAAAATAAACCAGCCTCCAATGGTAAATATGCTGATGTGACTACCTTTCTAATCATGCTAAATGTTCACATAGGAACCATACTGAACTGTGGCACCTTTCTTTATCTAGAGGAGATACAGGACCTGGCAAATTTCATTAGGACTATGTTACCTGTCCAGCATTTTAACTACTCAAGTAAATAATCACTTCAAGGGAAACATGCAATATTCTAATTAAAAACACTTATTTTGCAAGAACGCAATCATTTGAAAGGGAGAGCTGGCTGATACGGTGGCCATCAGCAAATCAGAACAGTTCATGCTGGGTCCATGCCAGAGTTAGACAAGAATATAATTTAGTTTAATTGAGCAATTAAATTAAAATAATCCTTTAAACAAGCAATCAGCAGAGTTGTATAATTTTAGTGCTACATATAATTTTCCTTAACACCTTTTTGAAAATCTGGGTTGCTTCTGAAATATTCTTGGAGGCTTTCTGAGTCATAAAATGGCAACCAACATGGATCTACAAGAAGCGTTCACATTTCTCTCATTTCATTCTTTTACAATTGTTCCACAGGCTTTCTTCGACCTACATCCCACTTCAGGGACCTCTAAGGAAGATATATAGGCTAACTAGGAAAGATTTATAGGACAGCAAACCTACATCCACCTGAGATGAGCTGTTGTGCCTTATAAAGGTTGAACTCAAGGGCAAGCCCAGGTTTGTGGCTCTGTAATACCTGACATGACCCATAGAAAAACAAAGCAAAGAGAACAGGAATTAGTGCATGAGGCTGATGTCTGAGATCATGCCCTAACTTCTCCTGCTGGAGCAATCTGAACTGCATCATCCACTCATTATCTGGGGTGGAAAACGGAGAGGAAAACCTGGTGATACCATATGTCTTAGAAGGAGCCATATAATTCTGCTGATCTACGTGTCAAGGCAAACCAGAGCCTGACTGAGGTAGATGAGGTGGCTCATGACCATCCAAAGGATGTACTGGAGATTTACACAAATAGTGAGAGATTGCAGTACTTTGGATAGCCAGTGCCGGCCCAGTTCTAGTTTGAGGTCCCTTACTCAAACCCCTTTGAATAAGCTTCCTTTCTTTCAAGTCCACCTTCTCACCACCATTTGTCATTCGCTATAATTGAACCTTCTTCTCTTTCTCATAACTGCTCTCAACCTCATCAACCTCACCACCAATGTCTGGGCCAGAGTGGTAAGCTAGGGAAGAAGCTGAGTGCAAGGGGAATGAACTCCAGCCTGCTCCTGCCAGTGGGTCCCTGTTGGTACATGGGATCTTGGTAGCAACCCAATGATCTCAACCTTGATGCCATCACTGTATATAGTAGACAAGTGGGGGGGATGCGCAGGGGAGTGTCACTCCTTTCCCCATTGTTGGGAGACAAGACTGAATGGGAGAACATGCTCTTTACCAGTAGAGACTAGTGACTTCTCTCTAAGAGGAACTTCTTATCCATTGAGGCTATTCTGCAATCTTGGGAGCTATTCATGATATTGAAGTCCATCCCCAAAAGAGGTTCACTACCATGAATGGACCCTATACATCTCAGAATAAGATCTGCACTGGACCCACTGATACAAGGGTTGCCAGCCTCCATTCTATTTCTGAGGCCAAGAGAAGAGAAAGGCAAACACCACAAAGGGGCACAAAGACCCACTGGATAAGGTAAAAGCGGTTCCTTGTTCATCCCAAAGGAAGAAAAAGCAATTCTAATTCATCCCAAAGGAAAAACTACAGAACCACACACCCAAGGAACCACAGTGGAATAAGCACCTTCTGGAGCAATGGGTTCTCACTTGTAAAATAATGTGATTGCCTTCCGAAATTTTTGTATGACACAGAAGTGCCAGTCAGCGAAGAAATACAAGAGTGTCCCCTATTCATCACATCTAAAATGATCCACTTCACTTCCAAACTTCTGAATAAATCCATCGTATTCTGGAAGACAACGTGCCATGACACCCGCATACACTTTATTACTGCACTCATCAATGCCCAACATGAGAAATAATATTGGCCTTTAACTGTGAGATACAGCTGTGAAAATCCAGAAATTACTTCTTGCATTTCTGAGCCATACAAATGCACATCTCTCTGCATGAGCCTGGCAAGCAGAAAATGTTTCATCGCATCAGTTGCTGAAGAATGCTGGAAACCCAATTTCTCAAAAAAGTATCTTCAAGAGTGAGAGCACATGTACTATTTTGACTTCATTGACAATGTGTTCAGGTTCAGTACAAGCTATCTTGTCTGTCAGAGGACATCCCCCTCTGGTCCATGTAGAGAAACTAGCAGTGACTCCATTGAGAGGGAGGCAGTATCTACACTCCTGAAATTTAAGGAATATCCCATGCTGCTGAACCCAATTTTGGAGAATAATTTCAGTGCCTTGGATAGATCCTGCAAGGTTCAGATGCGAATACTCCTCCACAACTCCATACAGCAAGTCAACAAAGGAAAGTACTTTCAGATTAAGTGTCCCCTTACAAAAAGAAATTCATTCGTTCATTCCTGGGACAGTACAGTGTTATAGGATTGCTCCTATTTCAGTGTAGGGCTCCCTGTTAGGAGAGAAAATATTAATGGAGCTGGCGTAGCTGCTTAAAGCAACCATTGCTATGGGATGGGACAGCAGTGGGATGTTGCCTTCCTCACGCCCTGCTCGTGGACCTTCTGGAAGCATCTGTCAGGCCTTGGGACCAGCTTTGTGGTGGGCTACACCCGAAGTCCTCTGCAGACAAAGCCATTATTTGAATGCGGGAGAAACTGAAACAAATTCAACCATCCAGATCTAAGGGCTTGAGTCCATAGCACTTAAAAGTTTGGGTCTGAATATCTGCACATTCAACAACAGCAGCATTGCATAAGGGCTGGCACCTCTCCCTTCCAGTAAATTCTTAAACTTTAACCGATATGGGGCAGGTGGGTGCGCAACGTGGCAAGTGCACCTCACATGTGGAGAAGCATCTGTTCCGAGATGGATTCATAGATCTCTATTATTTGGAAACATGCTGGGGCTCAGCTCAGGTGGCAAGAGACAGCCAGGAACCAGAACTAGAGTTCCACCAGAGGGTTGGAGCTAGGGCATCAAAATGGAAATCAAGCTGAAAAATGTTGGAGCGATATCCCAGCCCTAGCAGGAAGACTTTTTATGGTTCTTCCTGAGTAGAAGGGCCCGATGGCCAGCTCAGATCAGCAAGTCCAGGACCAGTTCACGACCATGAACATGCTTCAAAATGCAATGCTGTTAGATCACCGCACAGCGAACTACATAGAAAGCCAAGCCCTACGATCACTCAGTTCCCCTGATATGAAGCGACCAGCATTCCCATAAAGAAGAGCCAGCACAAATAGCTGGCTCCTGCATACTATTTGCTCCTTCCTTTTCATGAATGAAAATCCACGCCAGCATTTTATCAGGAGGAGGAGCTGGACGATCCTGCACTCATTGCATTCTCAACAATGAAGCTGCTCACCCACAGAGAAGCTTCCCCATGAGGAGCTAGCAACGGACACGGCCAACATTTTGCATCATCAAAACCGACTCTCCACCACCAAGCCCAAAGAATTACTTCACAGCTGGCTCGAACATGAGAAACAAACAAAGGAATTGAAAATGACGAGTGATGGGTGTGAGGACTGGAGGGCTGGGAGGAAAAAATAGGTTTTCATTAGTTTTCTGTAAGTGGATTAAAATGAGCAGAGTGTAAAGAGTCCCACGGGCTCCAATTAGGGAGCTTACTCAGTAGCTGAATTGTCCTAAACAAGCAACAATTTGAATGGGAAATGCTTAACGCAGCAGGAATTTAACAACAGGAAGAAAAGGAAAGAAAAACTCCCTCCCGACCCATCTGAACGTCAAGTGCATTTGTTGTAGAATTCAACGGCATTGTCATGGAATGAAGCATCAGTTCCCCCTATGGTACAGTTTGTATTTTCTCCATCTTGCACAAATAATTCATACCATTTTTGCACAGTCAGCAGAAACTGAATGAGCCTAGGAAAAATAGTCACTCTTCTAAATTCCCTGCAGAAATTGAAGGGGTGATTCTTCCTGGATGTGCAATGAGACTTGTGTGTGCGAGGAATGCATGACACTGAAAAGCTAGCTCTGTTGAAGCTGGATGGACTCGTGACGCCTGCTGTACCTGACAGCCAGGATGGGAAAAGTTGCTGCCAAGTTTTTCAGAATATTTATACAGACTTGGGGAAGAAAACTGTGCCTTGAGCACAATTCACACTAATCAGGAAAGAGATATGGGGTGCAAGTCACTACTGGTTTTGCTGTGGAATTTAACCTGAGGAGTACAGAAGAATCGCCTTCTCACAGCATATGCACAAACTCCACTTCAGCCGTCTTAAGTTTTCTGACAGTAATTTCGGATTTGTGCAAAATTCAGTTGTTTGAATTTATGCACACTTACACAGATGTACACACATTGTAAAGCAGCAGCCTGCATTTTACACAACTTCTTTTATTTTCTTTTTGAAAAAAATTATGTACCTTCTGGTGCATTTGAAAAATAGAAGTGCACCTGCTGTGTTATTTTAAATTCATAACAAACTGAGACGGCACCAGATTGGGATCTGTGGGGCCAGGCGGATGTTCTTTCCTTATCAGATATTGCCCAGAACCCTCGTGGGTACATGTCCTTGCACTCTTTCAGAGGACACCATCAAGCTAGCATGCTCATTCCTCCCAACATGCAAGCAACATCCTGTTTCCCCCCAGCAAACTTGTGGCATTGCTTGGGCTACCCAAGAACTGAGAAATGGTGGCTGTGCACCATTCAGTGAACTCTAGAGCAACCTTGCTCAGCCTGGAGTCCTCAAAATAGCCACTGGTCAGGAATCCTGAAGGCTGTGCTCATGTGGAGCTCTCCAAGATGGGGAATGCTTCTCTAGAACATGCAACCCCTTGTTCTCCTCATGGGTAAAGACAGACACCCACCAATCTGATGCTCATAGAGCCATGCCAGGCTTAACGTGTCATTCTGAGTCCTCATTCTAATGGAGCAGAAAGACCCTCACCACAGAAGTGAATAAAAGCGCAGCTACCTGCTCTTCTCAGTGTTTATGCTCACCTCCCCTTTCTCTGCTCCAGCTTTTGCTGGGCCTGGATCAAGGTGGAACCAGCAGAACCCTTCCTCATGTCTCTCTCTGCTGCATGATCACATAGGATTTGCATGGTCAACAAGGGCAGGTAAAGAGAGTGACTCCAGGAACTGACTGTGCACCCTCTGTGGTGGTGTGGGTCTGGCCAGGAGTGCAATAATGCCTAGTCCTAATTCCAGCACTGACACTGCTGGTGAGCTCTACCTTTGCCTCTTTCTCCCTGTCCCTCCACACCTGGGGACTCAGCCCCAGTTCTCAGTGCCAAATTATTACACAGAGATCCATCCAATACTGATGACAACATTTCTCGGTGAGAGTGTCTGGGATCAAAGCACATGGTTCACCCTTCCATGGGCAAGAAAGGGCAGTCACCACCAGCTTTGGCTCTGACTTCTTAGTTCCAGCAGAATTCTGACATGGTCAGTTTGGGGTGACCAAACCAGGGCTCTTTGGTGCACTAAGCTTTTGTTTTAGTGCTGGAATGGGCAGTACACAACATGTAGCTTACTAGAAATGTCCAGAGTCACCATACATGATTGGTGAACTAGATTAGGTTTACTGAGATTACAAATTCTGCAGATAAATGCTAACAGAACACCAAAGCAGGTTTCAAAGTGTTTTTGCACTGCTAGTCATTTCCTCTCCTTAGAGTCCTACAAAGTCCTTCAAATCTTATTCCTTTTCATACCCCAAAGGGAGAGAAAAGGGTCTTCAGAAAACAAGAGCCTTAACAACAACAAAAAGAAAACAGCTTCTTTTTCCATCTCCCACTGAAATTATATGTACTGAAATCCATGCTGTAAATCGAAAGCTGTGTTTGCTGTAAAACTCTCAGGGAAATAATTTGGTTCCAAGGAGAAAGACAATGTTGATAATGCACCAGAAGCTCTGAATACTAAGCAGGCTTTTCTGCACCCGTCCTTCCAGAGAGAATCCTATTTTATTTCATATTAGCTTTCAGATTGAAGAAATAAGGAGTAATCATAAGCTGCTGGGATCTGGAGTCAAGGGGAAATTTGCACAATTATGTGATCTGTGTTCTTAAAAAGCATCCTCTCTGTGAAGATATTTCCCTTGACTATTAAACTGTCTTTAATAAATTGCTGTACTCTGTGTAATACTTTAATTTGTCACCAGATGTCACTAAAAAGCACAGCTTCACAGGCTCAATATAGGCACACACACTTTTCCTTAAGTCTTCAACTTCTTGCATGGCACCCTTGGCAAGCCCTACAATTAAGAAAACTGATGACGGAATGGTGGCTTCAGCCATCCTCTTCCAGCTGTTCCCCCCCCCCCCCCCCCACATCCCATTACTTTCCCAGCTGTAGGGTAAAAGATATGCACAACTTCATATAAAAAACCCATCACAGATGGACAAAAGATTGAGTCTCATGCTCTACCATGCTTTTCTACTGATTACAATTTACGATGATTGCTTTTTCCCCCTTGAAGACCATAGCAATGTCTTTCACAAGCAACAAGTGCTCCTCTGTTCATTCTCTTCTAGTTGGTAAAGGACCCACTCCAAATCTGAACAAACTTCAAGTGACCAGACATGATGGGATATCCAGAGAAGGACTTCCATTAAAAATATGGGTGGGGAGAGATAAAAGGAGCCATTTAGAAGTGCATTCATTACATCTATTCCACACTAGCCCATTTCTTAAGTATGAACATCGTGTAGGGAAAGACCAAGACCTCATGAGTACCTATTCAACTATTAACAAAAGAAGAGCTCTATTTTATCATACCCAAAGCCTACCTAGTATAGTCTTCAGCCCACACAGGGGCTAATCAGAAGTCCATGGAAACCCACAAACAGGACACAAACGCAATGGCTTGGAGTCCTACTCCTCATGCTCCCAGAGACTGGTATTCAGACAGACGCTATCCCTAATAGTCAAAATAGCATTCAGAGAGCAGAATTTAATAAATCTTCCCTGCCCCACCCCACACATCTAAACATGGAACCCAGAGACAGTCTGTGGTCAAAGCTTGCTCATTTCTAAGGTGCCAATGCTAGCTGACACACACACAAAGAACGCATTCATCCTAAATGTGCAAGCTTCCATTGTCCTGCCACAACTAACTCAAACTCCATGATTGGACAAGTTATGAAAGTTAGAGAACTAGGCTAAGGCAGGAGCAGTTCAGATACACTCAAGAGTCAAAACACCATTAAACAGTGAGATATATTACCCAGTACAGAAGCAGAATCCAACCAGTCTGTAGCCCTCCCAAGGCAATGCCTGGAAAACAAAGCACCAACAGCGAGAAAAGCAATGTTGTACCAACTCTAGCTAGCTTCAAACTAAAGGCTTCCACAGCCAGAGCTTCCTGAGCCCCGCCCAGGGCCCAGCTGCAGTGCATTACAGGCCTGATGGCAGATGTACTACTCAGGAGGAGGGCCATGCTCTTGAAAAGTCCTCCTTTGGTTTGGAGAACTTTTTCTCAGGGAGCCTTAGGGGTTTGCCTCTTGGTACTCCCAGGGACTAGGGGATGCTCATCCTCCACCACAGAGGCAGAACTCTTCCCTGTAGGGAGGGACCAGTAGTGATCCCCTCTGAGGGCCCATGCTCCTCCAGGTCTCCTACCATGGAAGGCTCTCTGGTGTTGCCTGTTTCTGGGACCCAAGCGCTTCCTTAGAAGAGGATTCCTCCAGCAGGGGTCACAACACTAGCTAAAAGCTGTCCTTACAGCACATTGGAGCAATTCAAATGTGTGATGGATATGTGGCAGTGAGGTTTGGAAGGGTAAGAATTCAGTTCTACTCTCAAGTGGTGATGATATGATGGGGTAAACCCAAAGAGAGCTCACCTAGTCCACCTTCCACAGTGTTCCTTTGCTGATTTTCCCAGACTGTTGGCATTCTTAGAACGGCAGCTTCAGAACTTGGAAGTTGTATAAAATTATTAGATCTGTTCAGTCAGAAGCAACTCTGCAGTAGGTTCCCATGAAACCTTTTCCATTGTCTTTTAAAGCTGACTTTTCTGCTCTTTGCACTTACGTTTTTTAAAGCTGAACCTCTCAAGTATCTGAAATGGAAATACGTTTCTTTACATGTTTTCCTTCTCCTCCATCACCCCAGCACAATGCATTGTTTATCAAGAGATGCTTGTATGGGCTCCTGGCATTGATGTATCTTGCTTCATTTATAAAAGCTGCCACTGCCTTTGTTTGAGACAGGTAGAACATGAATAAGATTGATTTTGTGGGCGGAAGGATGGTTAAGAGGTGATGGGAAATGGCTCCAAATTATGAATGGTGTGGAGGGAGAGCTATGAATGAAAAATGTCTCTTTCACATTACTAGATCTTGGGGTCATCCAATAAAATTGATTGGTGGGAGGTCCAGGACAGGCAATCAGAAGCACTTCATAAAACACTGTCATCCTCCTGGGATGCATTGACAAAGACTATTGTGATGGCCACTTGTAAAGATGGCATGAGAACAAGGACAGACAAACAGATTAGCCTTCTCCAACCTGGTGCTTTCTAGTGGCAGTGCACTACAATGCCCATCCTTCTAAGCCAGCCTGAGAAAAAGTCTGCTTTGCCACCTGCAGATGCTCATGGCTTTTCCCCTTGGTAGGGATGGAAATTGGAATCCGTGGCAGGTTTTACATTCCTGCCTACTAACTTCTGCATTTTATCCCCACCATAACCCCAAAAAGGTAGTTTCGGTTCAGAGTGTCTCACCCAAAATCTCAAAGGGAGCATCATGGCCGAGTGGGGACTAGAACCCAGATCTCCTGTGTCTAGATTCGGCTCTCTACTGACTACACCAAACTAGCTTACTATTGACTGGGGAGTTTGACGCTTGAATGGCTGTTCAGGCACACAGTTTCCTGGGTGACTGTGACCCAGTCACTGCCCTTCAGTTTGCTGGGAGCATAAAAGGGGTAGGGCTGAGTTCTTTGGAGGAAAGAGACAAGTAAGTCAAATAGGAGTAATAAGCTAAACAACACATACCACTTTTAGACACATACATACCTCCCATCCACATTCAAACACGATCTTCCTTATAGCTGTTTGGCTTCAAGATGTTTCTTTGTTCTCACTGATATGTGCTACAATTCTAGGGCTGAGTTCCAATAAGGCTCACAATTACTTCACTTACAAGTTGAAAGAATTGTGGATAAGACAGACGACCTTTTTTTACTCCCAAGAAATCTATTGGAGATGGACAAATGACCAATGTTTCTGTTTCTTCAAGCAGTGATGGGACTTGAAAGTTGTGCAAAACTCCCCATATTTCAAAAATTGGACCATATTTTTCCAAAGAAGGGTTGATTTAGAAATCTGCAGAAATTTGGAAATTGGTGGAAAGTCATCAAGGACAATTGTACAAATTCAAGAACATGTTAAATAATCTGCAAACAGACATGTTCTTATGCTCCCATTCAGGGTTACATATACACCTAAATCCCATGTTTGGCAGGCAGAAATAGAGCTTTGTCTATCCCTACCTTCCCTAAAGAACTCAAATATGCCAACTATGGATTCAATTCAAAACTGAGCATAGAAGAATTTGCCTCTATTCAGAACAAATCCATGGAGGTAGCATTCACATGTGCAACTGTCTACATTCTGTCTGAAATGTCACAGTTAAGAAATAGTTTCTAATCTCATAATGAGCTGGCTGGGGATGATGGCAGTGGTAGTCAACTAATTCTGGAGGGCGTTCGGTTGGGAAAGCTGATTTAAAGGTACCTGAAGACAACTCGATTGATAGTTGGTAGGGAATATATCTAACAGGTGAATGTGATCGTGTGGATAGCCAACATCCCAGGAGAATCAGTTCTAGAAAAGACAGGAGTGGGAGACTCACTAGAAGCTTGCAAGATCAGCGAGTATTATCCATTCATATCTGTTAAGACAAATGTGGGGCTGGGGCAGGAAAAGAAGCAGGAGGATTGCCAAAAATTGGCTTTTAAATCTGGCTTCCCCGGAGAGAGATGGTCATGCTCAGAGGTTTGTGGTATTACTTGATAAGCAGTGATTAAAACAGTAATCCTGCATTGTAATCAAAAAGCAGTCAAGGCTCTGAAATTACTTTTCTGCTAAGCTTCCCCCTCCCAAACCTCTTCTGAGTGGCAGTCCTGTATGGCAAAAAGGGAATGGAGGAGCCATTCCAATACCACTCCAAAATGTTCCAACCACTAAGGTACAGTTTGGAAATATTTTATCTTTTCTTTTTTTCCCCAGTCCTCGTGAAAAAGTACCCTTTAATTTGGGGACGTAGGGATTCTGCCTGTGCTTCCAGAATTGGGGAAAGTAAGCCTGCCTTAGGGCACTGCAATATGGGTGGTGATGGGGGGGGGTCAACTTATCCTTATTGGCTTGGTTTATTTGCCTTACGGGGTTTCCTCCCCCTACCACTTCTCACAAACCTTTGCATGGTGCCATATCCCCCATTGTTGTTTAGCCACAGAGTCATGCCTGACCCCTCATGACCCCATGGACAATGTTCCTCCAGGCTCTCCTGACCTCCACCATCCCTCGGAGTCCACCCAAGCCCACACCCACTGCCCAGTGTCTCCATCTAGCCACCTCATTCTCTGCCATCCCCTTCTCCTTTTCTCCTTCAGGGGATATTGGAGAACCCTAATTGTGCTCAATGTGTGTGATCGCCTTCTGTTATGTGTAGGTGAAGCTGAGAGTGAGTGACTGGCCAAAAGTCCCTCTGTAAGCTTCATGGCTAGAGCCGGAGCCTGCATCTCCCAGGTCCCCACTCCATTTTAACCGCTTCATGCAGCCGTTCAGCAGGTCAGGTTATTTCGAAGCCTTCTTCAATATCAAGGAGAAGTCACTGGTTTAGTGTGTTGGTTTCTACCACGAGAACAGAAGCAGAGCAAAGATCTGTCTTGCCCAACATTCTCTTCCCACCCTGGCCAGCCAATACCCTTGGAAAGGCACCAAAGAGGGCATCATGAAGCCCTTCCACCTGCACCCTCTAAAAACTGTCATTGAGCATCATTCTGGAGGTTATCTTTACCTACCCTGGCAAGGAGCCAGTCTCGGCTTCATCCTTCATGAATTTGTCTAACCTCGTGCACTTAGAAGCAGATTCTATACTTTAACTAGATGCTGCCTGAAGAATTCCAGCCTTCTGCCTGCTCTGAACCTCCCACCATTTAGCTTCACTGGGTATCGCCATTGTGTCCTAAGATTATGAAAGAAGGAGAAAGCATCTCTCAGTCCACTCCCTCCACATCATAGATAATAGGATACACCTCTGCCATGCTTTACCTTGCTTGACTTTTTGTTCTCGGCTAAACTGCTCATGAACAAATTGCTCCAGTCCCCTGAACATTTTGTTTGCTGTTTTCTGCACCTTTTCTTTATGCTTTGTAAGGTGGTGTGAGCAGAATTGTCTGCAATCTTCAAAGTGCGAAAGCACCATGCATTTGTATAAGGGCATTAGGATCTCAGCAGTTCGATTTTCAATTTCTTTCTTTAATGCTTTTCATATGGAATTTGCTTTTTCAACGCTGCCACACACTTGGCTTAATGTTTTCTTCAAGCGATCTAACACAGTCAATGCCAGCTCAGACCAAAACAGTTTACACGTCTAGGGCTGGGAGGCAGAGGAGAGGGGTGGGTTCTGTTGTTCCAATCTGCATCCCTTCATCCTTCCTTGCATGGAACGCCCCGTCCCCCCATAGTGGTTGGATAGCTGCCTATTCTTCTCCTTATCTTTAGAATGCTTATCCACACATGCAGATATGCAATTTTTCCATTAGGAATTCAAACAAGCATAGACAAAGAGAGCCAATGAAGGCAAGGGGTTGAACGGCAGACTGGGAGTCAGGAGATCTGAGTTTGAGTCTCCATTCTGCCATCAAGCTGAATTCTCCAGTTCTCCCAGCATGTCCCAGCCCACATGCCTGGTTGAAGGGAGGTGGGAGCTTTAGGATGCTTGTGTGTCTGCACATGGTTGCACACTTACAGTATGTGGCCTGCTTAGGGTACAAGTCTATCCAGATGGAGCTGCGCACATCCATTGCAAAGCAGGAGGAGGGAAGGAGGCAATCTTCACTTCCGGTTCTGGCCACTAGTTGGCCACTGTTGGGCATCTGAGAGAACAAGCCAAGAAGACTGGAGTGGCATCAGAACATTCCCCCATCCTGGCTGCCCCAGCCTGCTTCCCACGCTGCCCCTTGTGCAAACGGCATAAATGTCTGCAAATTTTGAAAACAGCATCTATGAACAAATTTCCTTAGCACTGAGAAAAACCTTCAACTGTAAGCCTTCTTAGAGACAGAAGTTCTCAGAAGAAATCCTTGCCAGGCCCACTTCATTCGTGCATATGAAAAGCTCTGTGTAAGCAATACTAGACTGAGCGGGTAGGAATTTCAAGGAAAGAGGTTTTGATGCAGATTTAGGAGGAATGTGCTAAATGCTAAAATAATTAATTCTGGAAAGTCATTTCCCCAACACGCACATTTCTGTATGCATTTTTCTTTACACTGGAAAAACTCATTAAAACTTTTGAGAGGTATGATCTTAAACCAAAATGCATTTTGGTTCACTTAATGGATCTAAAACATGAATGCAACTTTTTTCCCCATTCCATACCTATTTCCCTCAATTTGCATCTCCGCCACACAAATTCAACCTTAATTACCAAGTAGAAGACTGGAGAACCGGCTGTTTTCTAATAGATTCTTTCTATTGGTCAGTGGATTCTGATCTTTCCTTCATATTACACTGCTCAAGTTTCATTGTGTGACACCATTTTGGTTTGGTTAGCAGCCTTGAACAGAGCAATATGGAAAGAGGGAACCTAAATAAAATAAGGAGAATATGCACCTACAATTGTGACTCTGTGTTCTATTGCCCTTGTCTTCAAACTGAAATGCATTCAGGATGTTCTTTAGTTGGCATTTATCCATTTCAATCTATATCAGAATTTAATGATTTGGAAGGCCTCTTGGCAGTTTCCAAACCTCACTCTGCTTCCCTTTCTCTGCTGTTTGCACACTCTCCATTGCAGTATTTAACTCCCCACAAACTCTGGGTGGCTCCTTGCAGCTCTCGCCTTGGTCTCAAGGGAAAGAACAAATGATAAACATCTCCTATCTAAGAACAAGAAATCTATAGTGATAGATGCCAGGTGGATCACCTAGCTAACTTGTCCCACTTCAGCTTGTTCCACTTTAGCACCAGCTTTTCACAAATAACTATCGATCCAGCACTGGCCAAGTCACAAATCCTCATCGAATTCTCAGAGGGAAAGCACAGTGGGAAGGAAGGAGGAAAAGAAGGAAGAGGAGATGTGTGCTTCCTTTGCCGCAATCTCTTTCAAGAAAATCTCTCCAGCAATCATACCCCCTTCAGTCTCTCTGTGCCAATTATCTGCAGTTATATACTTATTTATGCATTGCCTGTTACAATAAACTGTATATTCTCCAGCCATAAACTTCGCAGAAGCTTTGAGTCCAAACCTAATTGGTACACGAGGAACAGGGTTATGTGAGCAAACCCAGAAGCAAGTGCTCCACCGGGAGTCAGGCTCTCTCAATCTCACAGGGCCTCTTTCCCATGCTCCTCCATAGCCTAGGAAGTGGACTGAGCTGAGATCAAGCCTGTGAACACTTGGGAATGCAGGTGAGCCCCTTCTTTAGGCTGAATTTCAGTCCTGCCAAGTAAGCAATTGTGCTTGCACAACACTGAGGACGCATGCATGTACACAAAGCCTCCAAGTCATGTGTGCACAAGCTGGCCTCACCAGGTATACCTGGGCATCTGTGGCAACTGGACTTCGGGCAGAGAGAATGCTGACCAGAGTCCAGGGAGCTGAACTGAGAACATCCAGTAGATTCCCATCCCCAAACTGGAGTCCTCACACAGCGCTGCTAGAAGCTAATGGTAGCAGGGAGATGGGACACTTTGCCCATTAGTTCCCTTCATTTTTCTGTTCATAGGCTTTCTTCCCTGAATGCCACTCCTAAGGGATTTTTCCATATGAGGCTGTTAATCTTCTATATCTATTTTTGGTTGGGCTGAAGAACCGAATTCCGATGACTATGCAAAGAGCATTTCCTTTCCTGCTGCCTCATCTAGAAAAACTCTAGCAGAGTTGCAAACATTGATTCTGGAATGGAAGCCTGTGAAGAATGCCAGCTTCTGATTCCACAGTTCCTCGAGATCTGACTTTAAATGTCTACAGTGGAACATGGAGAAAACACTACAAAAACACTGCATATGTTCAGCCTAGAGAAGAGAAGACTGAGGGGGGACAAGGTATCCCTCTCAAAGGCTGTCACAAAGAGGAAGGTCAAGGTATCTTCTCACTG